TATAGTCCTTGAGGGACCTGAGATCTGTAGTCGTGGTACGATGATCTGCTAGAGCGCGGAGGTCACCATCACCGCGATCAAGGGCGTCTTCCACACGGTATCTCAGCCCTGCCCATCGCCCGTAAGTTTCCTAAAATGAGACGAAATATAATCCGTACAGCATGAACTCGTAAGATCTTCTACAGTTAAAACTGGTTCAAATTGCAGTATAAACATCAGTTTTACTTCCTCTCAGCAAACATTTTCTAAATATCCCTTCAGTATAAATATTCTTCATACACAAAGGAAGTATGGCGTTACCCTGCATTTAAGTTCGATGGCCTCGTGTTCCCTCAGGATCGCCTCAGCCTGCTCGGTGGTGGTCCCGATGCTGGTATCTGCCAAAAGGGTCTGGCCCGCCGACACCAGCCACTGACCGATGTCGTTCATCTCAGTTTCCAGTTCCCGGACCTAGAGTAAAATAACGACAATTGTAGCACTATATCAAGATTTTTTTTCCCTTTTCTTCTTTTAAAGAATAATCATGATGTGTTTTTTCTAATTAGCCTACGTAACGACAATTTGGGACACCTGTCATAACCCATACATGATATCAATAAAACATTCAAATGCATGCTATAAAAGGAAAATCACTGTCATAAAAGTATCACATCTAATAAACTCAACCTTGAGGGTAGGACGGGGATCATAACTTTCAGAAGGTAAACAAAGAATATCCGTATATAATACTACTAATGATATGCATGGACATCAGAACTAAAACGTCGGTGCCTAACACAGCAAGGAACGTAATGTAGAATAACCAAATACGCAAAAGACCTGACCTGCATGTAAGTGTCGAGGGCGGTGTTGAGCCTCCTCCAGCAGGCTTCAACGGCGGTGGTCAGGAGATGCAGATCGTGGAGCATTGTGCGCACTCTGGACGCGGCCTCTGCGGCGTCCCCTTGGCCCTCGCACACCCGGAAGCCCGACTCTTCGTCCATTTCCAGCACCTTGAGAACCTCTTGACCTACAGCCAGAGAAGGATTGCTTGGTATTTTGGCGAATCATATCGTAAACTGGTTTGATATAAAATTTCCCTCTCTAGATAAAATATAAATGTGTCTATTTCTATTTTATATATATATATATGTGTGTGTGTGTGTGTGTGTGTGTGTGTGTGTGTGTGTGTGTGTGTGTGTGTGTGTGTGTGTGTGTGTGTGTGTGTGTGTGTGTGTGTGTGTGTGTGTGACTAATAATACAAAACTTCCATTTACAATAGAATTACTTAATATCCCTTGCTACTAATAGAGAGCCATCTAAGATAAAAGATTACCCATGTTGAAGATGATTGCGGGTCTGGCGGTGATGGTATTATAGGTGTTCGAATTGACGGAGAGGAGGTCGTGGAGGGTTGACGCTCGGCTGCATGGCTCTTCCCGGCGCAGCTCCGCCTGCAGTGTCTCCAAGTCCCGACGGGCGCGTTCGCATTCATCTACAAACTCTTCATAGGCCTATCCCCACGGCGAACGAAAACAAAACATTTTATTGTGTTATTCATGAATAAAAAATCTTTACAATAAACTATTACAATAAAAGTCTAAGGTGTTTAACCCACGTAATCTGACTCTTGGATGAATTCTGCGTATTCCATGAAAACATACTTTTTCTTGAAATCAACCATAACAAGGTATATACTGTACGCTTGTGTCACAAATCTTGAGCATGCCATTACCTTTTTACTAAGATAACTCACCTTGCGCGTCTTGAGCCAAGCGAAGTGGTCGTAGTCCAGAGTTCCGCCGAGCTCAACCGGCAGCTGCGACAACTCCATGTACTTCGTCAGCTTGCTTACACTTACGTAAATCGGCTGATGAATTATGTAAAGAAACGAAAAAAATGCATCACTTTCTCAAAAATCGTTCAGGAATGTTAGGAACAAGTATTTCAAAAATAATGTCCAAATACCAACAATAAAGACAACAGTGTAACATGTCTTCACTTGACCTCTAACACAATTAGTATCTTACCTGGCTGTCGACCTCGCTCTTCCGACAGTCGACACGCTGCTTGTCCCAGAATCCCTCCGGCCGAACCACAAACAGGTGTCTGATGTGGCCCAAAGTGGCGCGCACGGTGCTCACTGTGGGCTTTACCAACCGATAATGGCACACACGGGCATCCACCACCACCACCCAACCGCGGTCACGAGAACTCACGCTGCAAATAAAAGATTTGTTATTTTTGCATTATATCACAAAATGTGCAACAAATAGAATCGGATATTAACTGGAAAAACTCAGGAGTTACCAGATCGGACTGCATCACACTAACCTTGGGATAGTCTTGAGATACTTTATGGTGGCGGAGATGCCCCCAACATCATGGAGGGCTGGATCTTGTGGCAGCGGTATGACCAAGATAGGGCCCCCACCTGGATCCCGAGACCCAGGCAGCACCGCCAGCCGCCGCTCCAGTAACCCCTCCCATTCACTGCTGCCCATTTTCTCTTACATGCTCT